CACCATCAAATCATAATTCCATTGTAAAATTTCTTCTCATTTGCAATTCCTTGCAATTAGTTTATTTCTATAAATTACAACTTTATTTTCAATTTTAACATTGAAATCAAATTCATTTCACTTATCACACTGAATGATTGCGTTTGCTCCAATCTTTGAATTTAATCAACTGGAAATATTGACGCAAATTTGTGATAAATGAGCACACAAAAAACGGTGGTGTTGCTTCCAAAGTTCATTGCGAACAGATGGGCGATAAGTACGAACTTGGTATGAATCACAATTCATTACTGAAACTGTCGTAAATTTAAAATCTGTTAATGAAATGACTCGAGCTTGAGCAAATAGACGTAAATCAGGTTTATTTAATTTTCAATTCGACTGAATAGTCATTTCGTGGAAATTTCGATAAGAAAACTCGCAACTTCTCTCTAGGTCATAGAGTTTCAATAATATGGCAAGTGTGAATGTATTCCTTACGCCTCCAAAAATAGTACGCTACAGTATTTTATGGTCGGGTTGGGTGAATTGTACGGAAAGCTGTGCATACTTTCTGATTTCGAATTGAATGGAATTTGGAATATCCACGCAAATAGTTGCGCAAATCCAATAAAAAACAGAAGATTGTGAATGCAATAAAAAAACAGTGCAAAAACTTATCTCTTTTATCTAGTTTCTTATCAGTCTTTTTTCCCTAAACGAACGAGCAATGCACATTTGTGTGGTCGTGCTCAAACGAACACCATATTTGTATATATGCGCGTTGATACATACATAGTTCAATTAAAATCGCATCAATCTACGGAATAGGAATTGCTTTTGTCGGAGATCAAATATAAGGCAGTTTCAATTTGAAACTCAGAAAAAAACTCATCGCTTTAAAAGCATGCCAGCGAATTGCTCAAAGAGATCCAATACACTGAGGATGCATACATTAAAAATAAAGACAAACGCGTTAGACGTGATAAAATGGCGCAGCAAATTTATATGCAATCATAAATATTTCGCAACATATAACACAACCCCAAGCAAATAGTAAACGAATTTCAATGCACGTTGCCTCAAATGTGATTTACAATCGAGAAGACAAGCGTTTTGATTTTCTTATCGTGACTTATTCTTTTTGTCAGAATTAACCGAATGCCGCTACATCCATGGTGGAATGGATGGCGCGCGCGAAAAAAAGAGAGTTCAACTACTTGCATGCAACACTTGTATGCCCAAAGTGTTGACGTTAGACATTTTTTATGTCTCACCAAGTGATAAATATGGTTTCGTATGGCAGAATATTGCGTGCCGATAAAAAAAAACGGCAACGCACGACGTGTAAAGTATTACACATGTTACAGTTGCCATCGTACAATTTGATATCAGGTTTTATGTACATTGTTGATTTTATTTTATTTTGTGTTTTTTTATCATCGTTGTTTAAAATGTATTCGCGAATTGGTTTGCATCTTTGGCACTCGCATCTCATAAATAAAACAGTGTTGTTGTTGAAGAAGAGATCGCGAAAGAGCAAAAAATTAAATCGTAACATTTACAACTAATTCATTCATTTTTGATTCGGTTTCGATGGCAAATACATTGAGTGCCAGCCTCCATCCGTTCATTCGGACATGTTTGTAACGTTTTAATCAAGTGAAAATTGATTCATAGCCATTCGATGCTTGTTGTTGTTGGCAATGGTGGTGCTTTTTTGTTCGTTTCAATGACAGGCGAAAGAAACGTGCGCTGCAATTGTGCAGTGACCAGCCGCTGCTACAATTTGTAGCGCAATATGGAATGCAATAAATTAATTAAATCAAATTGAAATGTTGCATGGAAGACTTGATCAGTCTTATTTGTCGCTCGGAATGTGTTTGAATTCCACGAAACACATCGGAGAAAATGTCTGTTTTGCCAGTTTAAGCAAGTGTCAAGATATCATCTATTCAAAAGATGTTATCGATTCAATTTTTTTTCTACACATTTTCTTCTTCTTTTTCATTCGTCTTCGTTGATTATTTATGATCATTACTCGTGGTTGTGATTTCTTATTATTATTTCAATTGACAAACAAATTACGTTTCTTTCATCAACCGAATGTGATGATGATAATAGACGGTTCGGTTCGACGGTTGTCTTGGCTGCATCGAAGTGGTTTTTTCTCAAAACGGTTTTTCTGATTTTCTATGTTAATTTACCGCATCTGGAGCAACAAACGATGAATGAACTCTTTCAAATGCATACGGAAATGTGCACTTCCTGAGATGGCATCGCAACAAATTATACGAAAAAGAATTTCTCTTTTTTTTCTCCCTTTTTCCATGTCATAAACGATAGAATTCTACCGAAAATGTTCAACGCGAGAAAAAAAAAAAAAACAGTAACAAATAAGTTTGTTGAAAAGCTATATAAATGGAATGAAAAACGAAAAGCAATAAAAATTTTAATATTATAAATGGGTTTTTGGTGTGCTATGTGTGTGTCATTTTTTTCATGCCCAAATTCTTTTCAAATGGGACGTTAAGTGCTTCAACTATTGCATTTCGATATTCACAATTCGTGAATTGAGATTTGTGCTATTTACTAAAACATCGTGATTGTGGCCAACATCGTTGTACTGTGAGAAAAGCCAATATTTGTACATTCAAAAGCATAATATTGACTCAGTCAGAGAGCGTCTTTATCGTTTGTTATCTATCATTTCTATTGAAAATATGGTTTTGAATTTATTCACTGCCAAACGATTTACGGATTTCAGACATTATTTTCATGATATTTCATATACATTTAACACATTATTTACTTTGAGTAATCCATTCAATAATATAAAATGAAGTACGTTTTGCTGGTGAAGATTTTTGCCATGGCATTTTCGATGCAATGAATAGGGTGGTCTTTGTGTAATAAATACACTCACTTAAATGCTATGAAATGTAAATAATGAAATATGACAAGAATGTTTGGGTTCTCTCACCTGATCCACTAAAATGTCTACGTATTTAGGTGTGTGTGTGTAGGTATGTAATTAATCCTGGACGAGATAAAGTTCGTGATGAATGGAAAAAATGCGTTATTAACACGAATTATGAGTTTGAGAGCCAACAAATACACAGTCAAAATTGGACGACTTTATGAATATTCTATTTGATAACAATATATTCTAATGACGCTTTGATGAACGAATCCACTTAATGTGCCGGCACTGCTACAAATAAAAATACCATAAAAAAAATATTGGACGCAAATGTTTTTGTGGTCTATGTGTAAATCACTTATATTGCATTTGGACGGGTTTTTTTTGTCTTCTATTTTATATGCATATTGAATGATAACAAGTTTTTATTTCAAATTGTCTATTGTGCTTCATTTTTCATGCGACGGAAAAAGAAAGAAATAAAAAATGTTTATGAGATAATGTTAATTTAATGGGCTCAATTAGTTCGAGAAAAATACTGTGTATTTACGATACTCCTATCTGTCGCAAAATTATCACACATACTTCATGCACTAGTCAAAATGAGCTCCAATCGTAATGTCATGTAATGATAACAACAAACACATTTGTATTAATCGGTGTATTTTTTTTTGCCTGTGGTTGCGGATATTTATTGCATGCAAGCCACAAAAGTAATGTATCGAACTGTTCAGAGAGCAAAAAAAATGATTCTATGGTTTTGCATATATTAATCACTTTTCAAACAGCAGATAATGTCCAATTGCATATGTAAAGCTGTGTCGCACAAGATGAACAAAAAACACTGCTACATGCTCTAGTTTGAAAAATAAATAAGGCTTTACATAATCAAACATACAAAGCTAGGTGTAAATTAAACTTTTTTTCGAAAAGCACATAAGTGTTTAAAAAAAAACACACACTCTTTTTTTTAAAAAAGCAAATGTATCAACAATTATCGAGATTGAACTAGACAAATATAACGAAAATATGATAAAATGTATAGGTTGAAGCGTGTCTCAAGCTAACCGAATGAAAAAAAAACTAGCAAAATTGAAAGAATACAGCTGCATAAAGATTAAAACACTTTGTCTATTTCTCAGAATGTTCGATTTATTAAAAATTATTTAAATGTTTACGTTTTCAGTGGTTCAGTGGAAATTCGGAGGCGTCCGCGCGCGCGACGACATATACGTGTCTATTGCATTCAAGCGATATTTACCGACTGATGTATATGAACGGCATGCTTGGTGCACAACCAACTGCTTTGATTCAGATATATTCGAATTGACGACTTACTGTTACTGTTAGATGCTGCTGTTTTTAGCGGTTCTCGCTCTCTCTCTCTCGGAATGGAGCACACACAGTGGACTGGACGGTGTTATATGTGCATTGGAACTCTCGCGTATTGGAGAGACGTAACTAGATACGTTTATCGCATACATTGCAATTTTGCGGTTCATTAGAGTGGTTCGCGTTCGCCAGTCAGTGCCATTACGATTATGGTTTGCCGATTGTTGTTACACAATCGACGGGGTATCGAAATTACAGTTCAATTATATTGACCATCGCCGATAAGCAGGAATTCTCGCCGAATGAACTGTAGTTGGTTATTATGTCAATTTTCTTTATTTAATCATTACATATTATTTACTTTGTTTATTTTTGCGTAAAGGAACAAATAAACAAAGTTTTTTGGCTTTTCGTTACTTAATTTTCATTTCTTTTCTTTGAAATTTCAATCGTTCAATTGGTGAAGGCAAAGTAAAATTGGAATTTCATAAAAATAAATCCAAATTTCCAAAGAAAATTGAATTATATATTAATTTTTGCTGCGATATATAGAAATATCAAATTATGTTCATCAAAAATAAAAAAAAATATATTACCAGAGATTCATTATCGAATAAATATTGCGTTCGTTATTTTCATATTCATGGAGAAGTTATATTCACCATCCAACACTCGAATGCAGTGAAACGTTCAGTTACTGTGACATCGAACATTGGCATGAAGTTGGTTGTTAATATCAACAACTTACAGTTTATGTTGTATCAAGAAAAGTCATTGTACAAGCCAAATGCAACAAAAGACTTGTGCTTCAGTTTTGATTCCACAAAAAAATCAAATTTTATTTTAGAAAAATTATAAAAAGTTTTAAATTTTAGAATTCCAAATAAATTGAATGCAATATGGCTGGTAATTTTTGGCAATCGAGTCATTATCAACAGTGGTTGCTAACAAAAGACGATTTGGTACGAGATCGTCGATATGATTTGCAATTTCTCACACCAGAAGAGTATCAGAAGCTCAATATTTTCTTTGCAAATTTGATCCAAGTGATTGGTGAGCAGCTTAAACTTCGTCAACAGGTTATTGCAACCGCAACCGTTTACTTCAAGCGATTTTATGTACGAAACTCATTTCGAAGCATTGATCCGCTGTTGATGTGTCCAACTTGCATATTTTTAGCATCAAAAGTTGAGGAATTCGGTGTTATTTCCAATTCACGTCTCATATCTACGGTAACATTGTCATTGTTTACAATTTAACATATTTATTCTAATATTATGGCTCCCATTTTCAGTGTCAAAATGTCATCAAAAATAAATTTAGTTATGCATATCAACAAGAATTTCCGTACCGAACCAACCATATTTTAGAATGTGAATTTTATCTGCTCGAGAATCTGGACTGCTGTTTAATTGTATATCAACCGTATAGACCGCTATTACCTATTATTCAGGACATTGGACACGAAGACCAATTGCTACCATTAACATGGCAAGTCGAATACAATCAGTTTGTGCGGAATGAAAATTAATGATCTTTTTTCTTTTAGGCGTGTCATCAATGACTCTCTTCGAACTGATGTTAGTTTATTGTATCCACCATACATGATTGCCATCGGTTGTCTTCAAATAGCATGGTTTGTATTAGCGTTATTTTGTCGCTTTTAATTTGCTCAAATTTTGTTTACTTTTTCGTTCACCAGTGTAATTTTGCAAAAGGACGTGAAAGCATGGTTTGCCGAAATCAATGTCAATATGGAAAAGATTCAAGAGATTTCAAAGACAATTTTAGGACTATATGAATTATGGCGTACGTATGACGAAAAGAAAGAAATTCAAGATTTGCTCGTTAAAATGCCCAAACCACGACCACCGCCACAGCAACAACAACAACAAACGCAATCAAATCAACAGACTCAAAATCAAACCCAACAATAAGATGGGTGAATTCTCTTCGCCATCACAGTTCAAATTCATTTTAGATCTTTTTTAATTAAGAAAATTAAACGATTTTGGATTGTTGTATTCAGAAGAAATTATATTACCTAGATAGCAGACTCATTTATCACAATAAATATGAACACATTATGCCAATCATCATTGAATATATGATTACTGTTTTAATTCAATATCACCGTGAATTTTTATCAAAAACATTGTCATAACATTCATTCGTATTTCAACGTGGGGGGGTTGTTGATACCAATGTGGACAGCGATTATAGTGAGGACGCATCAAAAATAACTTACACCATCAGTATAGTTGATATAATTCCAAATATGCACAGTATTGATGAAAGACAGTACAGTGAGCCGGTGAATGCGAGAAAGAGAGAGAAAATGTGACATTTCGAAGTTTCAGTGAAATTTTTAGTTGTGCTTCCTTGACTTATAAAACAAATCAAAAACGTTTTATTTTCCGTAGTTCAGTGTATCTTTTAACAAATTATAAACATGTCGTTGCATTGAACGATGGATTAAAATGAATATCTTTCAATCTTTGCACCGTGAGGTTCATTTTTCCTTTATCTAAAAAATACTCATCTCCGCAGCATACATCTGCTGCAAACTGCTGAAAATCCCATGAAAAAATGTGAAAAAAAACACAATTAGGTAAAAAGAAATGAAACCAACACAGGTATTTTCCGTTGTTTTAACTGGTTATTTATATTTTAACTTTATTTCAATCTTATTTCCATGCACTGTCACTTATTGACATACACGTGAAAATTCGACGAAGATTAAATCAAAAATATCTGGTTGTAATCGATATTTCGGTTGATTGGTATATAAAAAAAACTAAAACGGAATTGTTTATCCATTTTATTCGTTTTCTTGTGAACGAAGACGTCCGTTGGGGTTTGTCAAGCGGATTGACAATTGCTTGGCGCGTTCAACGATGTCTTTTCGCTTCTTTGATGAAACATTGTGGGCGATTTCAGCGCTGTAAACGCGGTTTTGCATCATCAAAACTTCCAATTCGCGAACATTGTGCACTAAGAATTTTTTGAATCCGTTTGGCAACATGTGGCGTGTGCTCTTGTTTGAACCGTAACCAATGTTTGGCATCAAGTATTGACCCTTGAAGCGACGACGAACACGATTGTCGATACCCTTTGGTTTACGCCATTTTGGCTAATGAAACAAAAAGGAAATGGAAAAAAAATTAATGGATTAATTCATGTTTTTGCCTGAAACACTTCAATCAAATGCATGACAACAACATGTACTAACAGGCAATTGCTAGGTTAGGTTTGCCTTGTGTTCAACACTGTGGCGATTGAAGTGAATACTTACCGAAAGTTTAGCATATCGATCAGATTGATGGCGAATGAACTTCTTCGTTCTCTTCTTAACGATTTTTGGTCTGTACGCTGGGCGGATAGTCATCTTGATACCTAATATTCAATGAATACACAAAACAATTCAATTAGTCAACACCATCATATGTATCAAAATGTGATATGGACACAAATATACACCATAGCAGGTATATAGCAATGTCCAATCAAAATAAATCGCATAAAAACATATTTATTTTTTATGAATCGAAAAAATGTTGCACTATAACAATGGACAATTGTTAAAACTACACAATTTTTGAAAAATTTCCAAGAATTTACACCGGATGATTGAAATAAATAAAGATTTTCTTGCACAAGCCTACCGTTTTCGTTTGATGCACGCACAAAAAGAAAGACTTGACGTTTAGGTATTGCCAACGAACCGAAAAAAAATCTGGTTGACAGATGGCGAACGGCACAAGTAACAACTGAACAACAACAAAATTTACGTAATACGTATTTCACATGACTGGTATGTCATGAATTGACATTAAAAATACTGTTTGTTGGAGAATTGTAGATATATATACACTATATAACAGTAGTAGTGTTAATTGAGTAAATCCGACAAGAAATCACAAAATGTTACGTCCAGTGTGCCACTTTTAAGAGATTTATTCAGCCAATTTGACCAACATTTGCATGCCAATATGGAGAGAGCGAAAACATTTTTTGGGAACAGAGATCATGACGGTTACGTAGGGAAAGAAGAACATTTAGTAAGTTTGCATAATAAAGTAAATTTTCAACAAGAGTTTTGCTAACAGCTGATAAGCTGCGCCCACGTATTTACAATATTGATTTTGTTGCAAACAGTATTGAATGAACAGGTGTTAAAATTAATAATTCAATATTGTCTATTTAGAAAGTGATTGATGCAGCTGGTGCGGAGGATGATGGCGATTTCACGGATATGGTTGAAGGTTTAACAATGAATGATGCCATTCATCCATCGCCAGGGGGTGCATTTTCTGCACTTACGCCTTCAATGTGGCCTCAAGATATTTTAGCTAGATTAACACAACCAGAGGTTTGAATTTTTTCTCATATTTAAATTACAATTTAATATCAGTTATTAATCAACACTTTTTCATTCAATCATTTCAGTCTGAAGATCCAAACAATCAGCCTGACTATCGATTCGATGAATTTGGCTTTAGAGTTGAGGAAGAAGATGGACCAGAACCTAGCTCAAATAAGCTGTTAAGCACACCGTTCTCCGAAGACGAACAACAGCGCCAGCAATGGATTGCACATTTAGAATTTTCGCATAATAAAGAAGCAAGTGAACTATTATGGGATAATGTGGCTGTTTCATTGCCACGAACTAAAAAACTTCGAAATTTAGTTCGAGCCGGTATCCCGAATTCATTAAGGGATCAAATTTGGATGAGATTATCGGGAGCATTGCAGAAGAAAATGAATTCCGAAACTACCTATCATGATATAGTGAAAGCGTCCAGTAACGATCAACTTATGACATCGAAACAGATTGAAAAAGACCTACTGAGGATAATGCCGACAAATCAAGGCGGATTGGTCGGTAATCCAGAAGCAACAGCCAATCTACCAAAACAACAATTGTCTCGGCGACAAGTGAAAAAGTCAAAGTCAATGCTACAAACATTACTTTTTGGAGGCGATAGTTCGAACGACGATGACGTTCGAAACAAAAACATTCGTCAGACTGAAATTTTAGTCGATTTACGTGAATCAATTTTAAAAGTATGCCGTCATTTTCTAACAATCGAACCGAAATTAAGTGCGCATATAAATCAAGTGGCCGATTATTCAACCGATAGTCATGCAAAAGATCATGAGAACTTCATAAATGTGTCACGAAATCGAAAGCGAAGAGCGAAGGCTTTGCACGATTTCGAACGGAACGATGATGATGAATTGGGATTTCGTCGAAATGACATCATTACCATAGTTAGTCAAAAGGATGAACACTGCTGGATAGGCGAATTGAATGGTCTAAGAGGCTGGTTCCCAGCAAAATTCGTAGAGTTGCTCGATGAACGCAGCAAACTGTATACGTCAGCTGGTGATGATGCGATAAGCGAAACGGTCACTAATCTGGTGCGTGGAACATTGGCACCGGCTATTAAATCCGTATTGGAACATGGCATGAAGCGTCCCTCATTTTTGGGTGGTCCATGTCATCCTTGGCTTTTTATAGAAGAAGCAGCCACAAGGGAAGTGGAAAAAGACTTTGATTCAGTCTATAGTCGTCTAGTTTTGTGCAAAACGTATCGATTAGATGAAGACGGAAAGGTTTTGACGCCCGAAGAGCTCCTATATCGCTGTGTACAGTCGATAAACCAAAGCCATGATGTTGCTCATGCCCAAATGGATGTTAAACTACGTTCGTTAGTTTGTCTTGGTTTAAATGAACAAGTGTTACATTTGTGGTTTGAAGTGTTGTGCTCAAATATGGAAATCGTCCAAAAATGGTATTATCCATGGAGTTTTGTTAATTCACCGGGTTGGGTGCAAATCAAATGCGAACTCCGTTTATTGGCTCAATTTGCGTTCAATTTAAATCCAGACTGGGAATTGCCACCGAAAAAAGGAATTGAAAGTCAACCGTTGAAAGACGGTGTGCGTGATATGTTAGTCAAGCATCATTTATTCTCATGGGATCTATGAAAGAAACATTTTCTTATGAACTTTATTCGATACAATTTTTAATTCTTTCTAATCTCTCCTATCTTTTATCATACAATGTCGAATGCAGCTATTTATCAAAGTATTATAAGGTAATAATTTATTACTAATAGCAGCACGCATTTTTTCGTTCATATATTTCAGTCATCAATTGTATATTTAAGTTCATTTACACACACATATATATGCAAATTGTAACAATTGTGCTTAAAACATCTGTTTATTATATTTTTGACAAGTACAAATAAAATATTTGACCTTTATTGTGGACATTTCTGCATATTTATTATGTTATAAATTTTTTTCTTTCTTTTTTTTTTTTGTATTTTATTAATTAACATTTATTCCTGAGCGTACACACAAAAAATAAACCTGACAAATCATTTTAGGATTCCTATTAAAATATTTATTTGTAAGGTTTCCTTATAATATGGCAACATTTTATTAGGAAACCTTTAAATAATAAAACATGTTTTGTTTCAACACAGTGAAGTTGGCTTTGACGTTTAAGCGCGCCAATTTATTAGGATTCCTGTTAAAATATTGCGATTTTATAAGGAAACCTAACAAATTCATTTTTTAATAGGAATCCTAAAATAATTTGTGGGGTTTATCTCTTGTGTGTATTTAACAAAAAAATGTATAAGAAAAACATGTGTGCAACTAATTAAGATAGTATTACAAGGCTGATCGAAAATGACCTGACTTTTTGAATGAAAGGTGACACTTTTTATAAACCGATATTATTTTTGAGAAGTACTACCCTTCAAACCTCTACATCACTTTGAACCAAATCCGTCCACGGCTAAAAGTTACAGAGCTTGAAAGAGACCACCCTCAAAATACACCTTAATTCCATATTTCATCGTTTTATTCGGATGGGAAGCAATTATATTAACCTATTCTTCCACTCAGAAGACAGGTAGAGGTCTCACCAAGCCACACCAGAACTATCAAAGTGATTCGTTATTAAAGCAGTGTGTCCATAATATATAGAAATATCACTAAATAGTGTCGATATCTATACTATATCGGTCCACTATACATGAAAGATATTGCCTTACGGCACCGTATCGCACGATCGAAGTCAGTGTAGACGGAAAAAATCACAAATTGCCGTGCGGCAGTAGAAAGCACTGTGTGTATGCGTCAACATGTTTGCCGTCCGCACTCACTTCGATCGTGAGCTACGGTGTCTTGCGGAATATCTTCCATATATAGTGCACCAATATAGTATAGATATCGACACTATTTAGTGCTATTTCTATATGTTATGGACACACTGTATTAAAGTCATCTAAAATTGCTATCGTCTGAACGACTTTTAGTGACACCTTTTTGTGGAATTTTCGGAACTTATTTTTTGTTGCTCAAGACAGTATTTCTTTCATTCAAAAAATTTAAAAATGGGATGAATTAATCTTTTGGCGTCGTTCCGACTTATTTCAGATGATAAAACAATATTTTGAAAAATACACTCACATAAAAGGCGAGCTCAAAGAAAAAACGCGATTATATGGCTTTTTGTGGACATATCGGTTTTTGATGACCGTGTAGACTATACCTTATCGCAAAATGCATTGAATAGGTTCTGTGGGATACTGTTAGTTAATAATCAATGAAAATATTTATTTTATTAGTGCAACGAATCCTTTAAACATCGCCTTAAATCTACCTCTCGAAACCATTTTGAGCAAATGCGGCAGCCTCCGTTCGAGTGAAATTTTCTTGCCCAGATGTTGGACTGATATAATGAAATAACTGTTCAACATGATGCTCGAGGTCTATTTTAAATAAATCACTAAGATATTGCACATTCTTAAAGCGATATCTTAGATTTTTTCAGACATTTCTTCAAAAACTGCCATTTTCGAGGTATTCGTTTCCTCAGCTTCTATGACCACATCTGAAATCAATAGAGAATTTCCTTGTGGCTCTAGTAGATAGAAGAGAGTCCGAACAACAGCACCAAGCTCAGTTTTGATTTTGTTGACGGGCTTATCATACAAAAATTGATGTTTATTTCTAGGGGGAGACACCAAGAATAATTTCCGAATCCACTATATAAATTACTAATCCTGCTATTCCACTAATCCAAAAGCACAAATGTGAAATCGAAACTATTTTTCCTATTCCATGCACTTTTTCGGTCAAAAATGTTAATTCTGCTATTCCGCACTATTCCACTAATCCATCAATAAACGTCAAAAGAAATGTCAAAGGGATTTGAAGTGAAACAATTTTTGCTATTCCATGCACTGTTTCGCTATTCCACGCGAATCCATGCACATGAGTTGCTATTTAATTGCAATTTCTCGAATTTTCACACTAAAAGTCTAATCCTATTCCACGTGTCTGCCCCCTAGGTTTATTTCACAAATCGAATTTCTTTTTTTTTGGTTTTTCGAAAAAAGACAGAGGTTGGTCACTTTCAAGCTCTGTAACTTTTAGGTCCGTGGACGGATTTGGTTCAAATTTGTGATGTAGAGGTTTGAAGGGTTGTACTTTTTAAAAATAATATCAGTTTGTAAAAAGTGGCACCTTTCATTCAAAAAGTCAGGTCATTTTCGATCAGCCTTGTAAATTATCTTAAGGCTCTACTTCCTAGGACACGATTTGCGTTGAGGAACATTTTTTTAAGTAATACTTAAAGGTAAAAAAATTGCTAATTCAAAATCAAACTAATATTCCGAAGTGAAGTAGGTGAGTATCGATAAAAAAACAATGAACACTTCAAATAACAAGCAATTCATCCCAAGCACTCAATTTGCACTGTTCATAACAAAAAGATGAGAAAGGGGAATAAAAAATAAGACGCAAGGCACGAAGCGTATATGCAGATACACTACTTTCTTCGTGTCTCGCTCCGTATTCCATTTCGTGTTTTCGTTTTGAGTGCATGGGATGAATGTGGTTACAGATCATTTGCCATTGTGCTGAAAATAAATAAAACACAGGTATTAAAATTCTAATTAGTTAACCGTAGACCTACGTTAAAAAATTTCGACTAATCTTAAGTTGGTGGGTCGTTTTCGACCCTCATATATTTTGTATGGAAATACATGAAAAATAATGAAATTTACCGATCGATTTTTTTCTCTTTTTTAATCGAGGCCACTTCAGATAAATATTTCAAAATAACTTCTGGATCCTACGTTCAGAACAACGCTGGACAACTGTGCGTGTTCCACTCGAATCATTCACACATCGACCTGAGAGATTTGAAACAGAGTCATTGCTACTGCCTGATAAGTTACGATTTTCATTCGTCCCTGAAAAAAGAATTCACTGTCAATCTGAATAAACTAAAAAATGATTTTTTCAAATTAATCAAATTACATCATAAATTTCGAGTATTTCAAAATTTGTCGGAGTACTGTTTGAATTCGTTCAGCTTGACTGCCAGTTGCATTTACGCTTTTACTCTAGTTACTATAAGTGAAAATGACCCCAAAAACTCAGACATTATATTGAAATATTTTCAGCCAGATGAATCAGCTCAGCCAGATATCGTCAGAAGCTGAAATTGAGTGAAAACAATAGAAGTGATTGTTCTGATTATAATTACACATACATTGCTAAAATCACTTATTGTTTTCACTCCATTTCAGCTCCTGACGATATCTGGCTGAGCTGGTTCAACTGGCTGAAAATATCCCATGAAATATCTCAATAAAATTTCTGGCATAGATGATGACGGAATTTTTTTTAGGGGGTTGTGATGGTAAAATTCCGTAGGGGGTCCCTGGAAAACTTCAATTTTTGAAAATTCATTTGATTCTCGTGGTTATGTAAGTCATTTTTTTTCTTTTTTTATGTTTTGTAATTGTGTACGGCTTAAAATTATTGTTTGGATTAGCTTTTGTCGCATATAATAATATCACCTTTGGAAAATATTGCAAACAGTATATTAAGTGAAGATTAATTATTCTTTGGCGGCAGCAGCTTCTTCGATAGCAGTGGCAGCTGCAAGAGCTGCTTTAGTAGCAGCGGCAGTCTCACTAACTTTCAGGCGTCGATAGTACTGCCGTAGCACTTCTTTTTTGTATTCAATCGGATAAATTGCATCGTCGATAAGACGATTTAGATCCGACGGCCCAAGCCGTTGATTCCGCTCGTAGCGACACGGCTCATGATAGTGCATTCCTTCCTCTACTTCGAAAGTAAACCAAGTGAACTTATTTTTCATCCAATTGATTGCATTCATTTCGCCATTTTAGTTTTGCATCGCAAGGCACTTTGGGTTTCTCGACAGCCTTGACATAATAGCTCCAAATTTGAATATAAATAAATTCAGTTTTGTTACGTCAAAGTGCAGTTCACAATCCAGGTACGATGACGCGAAATTCATGGCGTAAACGATTACTATGTTTACCACTTTTACACTTAAAATACCGCTCCACACTGAGTTCTGCCACACGGAATGATCCATGTGACGGCATATTTTCACACGCAACTTCGTTCTGAGTGTACCGAGTACTTGCTACATGTGGCTGCTTATGGACTGCGCCACAAGTCCGATATACACACAAACAACAAATTCTATCAACATGTAGCAAGTACTCGGTACACTCAGAAGTTCTGAGTCAGAACGAAGTTGCTTGTGAAAGTATGCCGTCACATGGATCATTCCGTGTGGCGGAACTCATGTATCCATCAACTTCCAAACCAGTTGCATTAGTTTTCTTCTCGATCAATCTAGCTTTGATGGATGCACTACTCGATTTTGAAAAGGCGTCCTCCCTAACTGCAACAGCATAATCACGTGCAGTAGCCATTTGCAAACGCTCATTTTGATTAATCGTAATAAAATCAAGGAATTTTTTCACATAAACCGAAGAATCTCTGCGTCATTCACAGCAACAATGACATTACGTTTCAACAATGGATCCTCGAATATTTTAAAATTTGGTTCTAATTTGATGAGATACAAAATGGCCGTATTCAAGATACCGGGAACTTTTATTTCGCGATAGCCACCTGCTCTCATTCGCGAAAATGTGAATTTTTTCGTTGTGCGAATATAGGCTGCATCGATTTTAGCTTTTATTTCTTCGTCGTCATCCGATGAAAAATCAACATTGAGTAGTGGACGGGCAATTTTGTATGGACGCTCAACGCGTAACAATTGGTCAGGCTCACTGAATAAATCAGGTGAATATTGTGGCAGAATGGAAGTGATTGTTCTGATTATAATTACTTATACATTGCTACAATCACTTATTGTTTTCACTCCATTTCAGCTCCTGACGATATCTGGCTGAGCTGATTCATCTGGCTGAAAATATCTCATGGGGCGAATCACGCTAGTGAATACTAGAAATACTAGTAAATCTAGTGCGAAGAATGACGTCACAAACGAAGCCAACCTTTGGCCTTTGGGCCATATAATTTATATGAAAAACTACTGAGAGCCAACTTCACGCACTCAAATGTTCTAGTTTTCTAGTGAAATCTTATCAGAAACTGGATGCACTAGAATTTCGTGATTGACCCCATGAAATATCTCAATATAATGTCTGGCATAGATGATGACGGAATTTTTTTTAGGGGGTTGTGATGGCAAAATGCCGTAAGGGGTCCCTGGAAAACTCCATGGGGGTCCCTGACGATGTCAACAATTTGTAGGAAATGAGGATAAAATCGTTTTTTTTTGCTCTTCACTTTTTTGACAAATAACCCTAGCAAATCGGAAGAATTTTCCAACTTCAAATTGACTTGCAAATCCTAAAAATGAAGAGAAAATCGTTTTTTTTTGCTTTTCAATTTTTTGGCGAAAACCCCTAGCAAATCGAAAGAATTTTCTCGGCCAAAAAAAGTTAAGAGCAAAAAAAAGGTCCTCATTTCCAAAAATGTTGAGGGTTCCCAAAAATATTTCAGAGGGGGGTAATCCGAACCCTAGGAATCCTCGTCATCACCTATGATGTCTGTAAAAAATTAATTAAATATAAAATAAAAGAATTAAATTGTACACATTTGAAAATAAGATGCAGGTTTTAATGGTGGTAATGTTCCCTGCCAACACTTACTACTATGTCTAAATAAAGACAGCCAGTCCATGGCGGTGTATTATTATTATTATAATTTAAAACATCAACTTACCGCATTAGATTACAAGTTAGAAACAACAACTTACCGCATAGAAGAAAACAGCTCTTTCCGAAATCAAACTGTAAATTTTCTCCTTATAGTCATTTTATGACGCTTTATCTTTTGTTAAACATTTTCTTTTTCGTATTTTTCTTGCAAGCTTGTCCCTCAATCTTTCTACCTGATGAAATTTGATGATCACTCATGATGAATTGAATGGTTGAGAAAAATCATGACTCAAATTATTTCTAATTTTCAAAAATGAAACATAGAAAAATGTGCATTACAAAGAATGAAACTTTATAAAACAACTCACAAGATCGATTCACAAGGAAAAAATTCCATTGAAACATAAAAAGAATATCCCGAATGTAGGCAAAATTGAATCATAAAATTTTAACACGCAAGAGTGAAACAAAATAGATATCCATGTTCAGTGTGCCACTTTTAAGAGATTTATTCAGCCAATTTGACCAACATTTGCATGCCAATATGGAGAGAGCGAAAACATTTTTTGGGAACAGAGATCATGACGGTTACGTAGGGAAAGAAGAACATTTAGTAAGTTTGCATAATAAAGTAAATTTTCAACAAAAGATTTGCTAACAGCTGATAAGCTGCGCCCACGTATTTACAATATTGATTTTGTTGCAAACAGTACTGAATGAACAGGTGTGAAAATTAATAATTCAATATTGTCTGTTTAGAAAGTGATTGATGCAGCTGGTGCGGAGGATGATGGCGATTTCACGGATATGGTTGAAGGTTTAACAATGAATGATGCCATTCATCCATCGCCAGGGGGTGCATTTTCTGCACTTACGCCTTCAATGTGGCCTCAAGATATTTTAGCTAGATTAACACAACCAGAGGTTTGGATTTTTTCTCATATTTAAATTACAATTTAATATCAGTTATTAATCAACACTTTTTCATTCAATCATTTCAGTCTGAAGATCCGAACAATCAGCCCGACTATCGATTCGATGAATTTGGCTTTAGAGTTGAGGAAGAAGATGGACCAGAACCTAGCTCAAATAAGCTGTTAAGCACACCGTTCTCCGAAGACGAACAACAGCGCCAGCAATGGATTGCGCATTTAGAATTTTCACATAATAAAGAAGCAAGTGAACTATTATGGGATAATGTGGCTGTTTCATTGCCACGAACTGAAAAACTTCGAAATTTAGTTCGAGCCGGTATCCCGCATTCATTAAGGGCTCAAATTTGGATGAGATTATCGGGAGCATTGCAGAAGAAAATGAATTCCGAAACTACCTATCATGATATAGTGAAAGCGTCCAGTAACGATCAACTTATGACATCGAAACAGATTGAAAAAGACCTACTGAGGATAATGCCGACAAATGCATGCTTTAGTTCGCCAAACAGCACTGGTGTACCGAGATTGAGGCGAATTTTGCGAGGAATCGCTTGGCTCTTCCCAGATATTGGCTATTGTCAAGGCACTGGCGTTATTGCAGCATCATTACTTCTACTCATGGAAGAAGAAGACTCGTTTTGGCTCATGTAAAATTACCCGTTTTTTATTTGAAAATTCAAAAATTACTTAAATTTGCTTCTTTCTCTTAGGGCAACGATCGTTGAAGATTTATTGCCAGCTTCGTATTATTCCTCAACGTTATTGGGAGTGCAAGCCGACCAACGAGTTATGCAAACACTAATCGCAAACTATTTAACAGCCGTTGATGAAGCGTTAAAGTGTCACGACATTGAATTGTCTTTGATCACATTACACTGGTTTCTAACGATTTTTGCGAACGTTGTTCACTTTAGAATTTTATTGAGGTTAGTTTGACAAACTATTTTGCATTAAATATCTTGAAAGTATTCGGTAATCATCACAATATGATTAAATTTTAGGATATGGGATTGGTTCTTCTATGAAGGGTCGATTGTTTTATTTCAACTGACCCTCGGTATGCTCAAAATGAAGGAACCATTTTTGAAAGACTTGGAGAATTCGGCACAAATTTTCAATTCATTGTCAGACATTCCCGGTGGAATTGATGATGTTGAGTCTCTGTTTGAAATTTCAATGGAAGTGGGCGGGGTATGTATCGGAAATATTCGCTTATCATTTGAATAGTAATGAATTTATCTATTTTTTTGTTTTCTTCAGTCACTCAGTAAAACAGTAATTGAGACACATCGACGTCGTCATTTGGCCTACTTGATGGCTGATCAAGGCGGATTGGTCGGTAATCCAGAAGCAACAGCCAATCTACCAAAACAACAATTGTCTCGGCGACAAGTGAAAAAGTCAAAGTCAATGCTACAAACATTACTTTTTGGAGGCGATAGTTCGAACGACGATGATGTTCGAAACAAAAACATTCGTCAGACTGAAATTTTAGTCGATTTACGTGAATCAATTTTAAAAGTATGCCGTCATTTTCTAACAATCGAACCGAAATTAAGTGCGCATATAAATCAAGTGGCCGATTATTCAACCGATAGTCATGCAAAAGATCATGAGAACTTCATAAATGTGTCACGAAATCGAAAGCGAAGAGCGAAGGCTTTGCACGATTTTGAGCGGAACGATGATGATGAATTGGGATTTCGTCGAAATGACATCATTACCATAGTTAGTCAAAAGGATGAACACTGCTGGATAGGCGAATTGAATGGTCTAAGAGGCTGGTTCCCAGCAAAATTCGTAGAGTTGCTCGATGAACGCAGCAAACTGTATACGTCAGCTGGTGATGATGCGATAAGCGAAACGGTCACTGATCTGGTGCGTGGAACATTGGCACCGGCTATTAAATCCGTATTAGAACATGGCATGAAGCGTCCCTCATTTTTGGGTGGTCCATGTCATCCTTGGCTCTTTATAGAAGAAGCAGCCACAAGGGAAGTGGAAAAAGACTTCGATTCAGTCTATAGTCGTCTAGTTTTGTGCAAAACGTATCGATTAGATGAAGACGGAAAGGTTTTGACGCCCGAAGAGCTTCTATATCGCTGTGTACAGTCGATAAACCAAAGCCATGATGTTGCTCATGCCCAAATGGATGTTAAACTACGTTCGTTAGTTTGTCTTGGTTTAAATGAACAAGTGTTACATTTGTGGTTTGAGGTGTTGTGCTCAAATATGGAAATCGTCCAAAAATGGTATTATCCATGGAGTTTTGTGAATTCACCGGGTTGGGTGCAAATCAAATGCGAACTCCGTTTATTGGCTCAATTTGCGTTCAATTTAAATCCAGACTGGGAATCGTTGAAAGACGGTGTGCGTGATATGTTAGTCAAGCATCATTTATTCTCATGGGATCTATGAAAGAAACATTTTCTTATGAACTTTATTCGATACAATTTTTAATTCATTCTAATCTCTCTTATCTTTTATCATACATCTATTAATTTTATCAAAGTATTATTAAGTAATAATTTATTACTAATAGCAGCATGCATTTAAGTTCATTTACACACACATATATACACAGGTACAAAAATTGTAACAATTGTGCTTAAAACATTTGTTTATTATATTTTTGACTAGTACAAATAAAATATTTGACCTTCATTGTGAACATTTCTCCATATTTATTATGTTATAATTTTTTTTCTTTGTATTTTATCAATTAACATTTATTCCTGAGCGTATTTAACAAAAAAATCTATAAGAAAAATATTAAATAACTCTTAGGTGAACATACAATCTTTTTTTAAGGAACATTTTTTTAAGTAATACTAAAAGGTAAAAAAAAATTGCTTATTCAAAATTAAAGTAATATTTCGAAGTGAAGTAAGTGAGTATCGATGAAAAACAATTCAAAAAACGACAAATTCATCAGACGCATTTACGATTTGCCAATCCGCTGAAAAGAAATAAAAAACATGTGTTAACGCTCTTATTATTTAAATAAAAGAATCACTTACACAAGTTTGCTTAGGTCTTCGAGCATGTAACATATTTTTTCTTCCATATTCTGTAATATGTCCTTATCTTCCACCTTACATTCGCTGATAAAACAAAAAAACAAATTATACAAAAAATAGTCTCATGAAATAAATACGAGTATCGAAGATTTTTACTTACAGTAGAAAATAGGTAACGCATGAAGTCACGCGCGTGACCTGTTCACATAAATATTTCAAAAGAATTTCTGGGTCCGTACATTTTCCGGGGAATTTGTCCATTTTGGGAGATAAAATATCACTTGTAGATGATGCTGTATGTGAACTTCTAGAATTTGACGATCCACTCGAACCATTCTCACTCGCAGAGAGATTTAAAACCGAGTCATTATTTCTTGATGACGTTCCGGGTTGAATTGGTCCGAATTCGTCACGACGCTCAACAACCATTGCACTGAAAAAAGCAATCCAATACATTCCAATAATTAAAAAATTGAAAAATAATTTTCTTCAAATCAATCAAATTACTTAATTTTTCCAATTACGTCGAAATTTCGTACGGCCAGTATTTTAATTCGTTCATCTTGATCGCTTGTTCGATTTGCGCGTTCATTCCAGTAACTTTAAGTGAAAAAGAACACAAAAAATTAATGAAATATCGAATAATTTATATTTTAAAACATCAACTTACCGTAATATACCAGTTAATGAAAAGCAAACACGTCCAACATTAAACTGCAAATCTCGCATTGTCGCACCGATGTTCTCCTTATAATCATTTACATTTTGTGAGGCTATTGTATTAGATTCTGAAAAATCTTTCGTTAAACATTTTCTTTGTCGTAATTTTCTTGCAAGCTTGTCCCGCAATTTTTCTTTATATGATTTATCAGAATCAATACCTGACGAACTTTGATGATCACTCATGATGAATATGATGAATTGAGATTATTAATCTTTTTTATTTGCTTTTCGTTTTGTTGATAAGTGGCAATGACGATATCTTTTTATGTTGACTGTCTTACTAATGAATAAATTCAATATGGATGTTGTATTTTCGAAATTACGATAAATTCTATGAAAGCGACCTCTACAGAAGATTCTTCGAAAATACGTAACACTTTTTAAGGAGAAGAAAACGTAATGCCGACTGAAGCTTGTAAATGTTGACAATTGTATATCAACAAGCAGAAGCTGAACAATAAACAAATCCAAGTTGCACAGAATTTACAGAAAATCCATTAAAAAAGAACATTTATTTGGAATACGAATACATCGAATCAAATTTAGAAAATGTTTTATCACGTGAGTACAAAATATTATGAATTTTTGCTGTACATTTTCAAAATAAATCGAAAGCAACAAAACCCGCTTGAAATGAAACGCATAACCTAACAAATTTTACCACACAGATTTCATTGGAACACGAAATTTTGCTGCATCCAAAATACTTTGGGCCACAGCTTATGGAAACAGTGAAACAGAAATTGTATACAGAAGTGGAAGGAACATGCACGGGCAAATATGGATTCGTAATTGCTGTGACAACAATCGACAATATTGGTTCGGGTCTCATTCAACCTGGACAAGGCTTCGTCGTCTATCCAGTTAAATACAAAGCTATTGTTTTCCGACCATTCAAAGGTGAAGTACTCGATGCGGTCGTAACTCAAGTCAACAAGGTAAATAACAACAATCGAGAATTTGATGCGAAAAAGAGAACCAAAGATTAATGTTTTGGCCTTTGTTTACAGGTGGGAATGTTCGCTGAAATCGGTCCATTGTCATGTTTCATTTCACATCACGTAAGTTAAATGACACCATTGAAAATACCGTTGATCAGTAGTAATCAATATCATCTTTCCACAGTCCATTCCGGCCGATATGCAATTTTGTCCGAACGGCAATCCACCGTGTTACAAATCACAAGAAGAAGACGTTGTTATTGCGGCTGAAGATAAAATTCGATTGAAAATTGTGGGCACACGTGTTGATGCAACTGGCATTGTAAGTATTCTTTTCTGATGTCGTTGAAAAAGGTTTAACTAAAACGAGAGAATAACAATTGGCCGTTTTTATTTCAGTTTGCGATTGGAACGCTCATGGACGATTACTTGGGCTTAGTCGGCAGTTAAATTAATTTGTACATTCAAACATTTCATTCATTTAAATACGAAACAATCCCAAATAAATTTTAAACTAAATTAAAATAAAGACATAATTTTGCGATTGTATGTAAAATTAATATCAATAAAAAAACTCATTCATGTATATAATGTCAAGTTTACGTATACGTATCAACGTGACATGAGAGTGTGTTGACTTTTCACATTGTGATTTGTTTTGTTGTTATGTCATGATAAGGCACGGCGGAATACCTTCATTTGTTTTAACCATTCAATGACTTGCTGCTTTTTTTAAATATTTAATTAAATCATTCTCGCAAAATACTGGTGTGTTAGCGTGTTATCTTGTTAGTGTGGTGATATTTCATTCTTGTTTAACTCTCACCAAAAGTCAGATATCGTTGACTGAAATTTAAAAATCATGCATCGGCATTCTTCGAATTTTTAAACACACACGTCTTGCAATAAAAAGCCATTATTTTTATCAATAGGTAAATAGATACAAAGATATATAGTAATTAGTCATTGTGAATGACCTCTAATTATCGAAATAGATGTCGCCCAATTTATTTGTTAATATTTTAATTCAATCTTTTGGCACGTGATTTTGAAAAGGTGTTGTTTTTTTTTCTAATTGACAGAGTTCGATAATATTCATACACATTGAAAATATGGATATTCTGAAAAATATTTCATACTGTCCACCAAATGTGTCGATTCACGACATTTGGGTGGACCATGGAATTTCACATTGTTTTCTCGACACTGTAAGCTCGGCTGTGTTAGCTGGATTTATTGTGATATTCGGATCGGTTCAATTGCTTATGTATCGAAGATATGCAATTCCAATTGAAAATGCATCACAAATATCCACATCGAAATTATACTGTTTACAATTAATTCTGTTGACCCTCATTCCGTCGCTGTCGGTTTTGAGGTTCATTCTTGAATCGTTCCTATTCCCAGATGCTCATCTTTATGGATACACGGTAACATCAAACTCTTAAATATTAAAACATTCCTTTTCAATTGTGTAATTACATCTTCTTGGTTTTGTTTGTTAGATTGTGGCTTCATCATTAACGTGCCTATCATTTTTATTTTCAATTTGGCTCGTATTGAAAGAAAGATTTTACATGCTTCCCGTCCTGACGAGAGGACACGGCTTAGTTTTGCTCGTATTTTGGACGCTTGTTTTTATCAATGAAAACATTTCGATAATGAATTTGAAGAAGGAAATGTGGTGGATACATGTCTTTGCAACGCTACGTGACAAAGTTGAGATGTTGATGTTTGTAATGCGATACACGAGCTGCTTGCTCATTTTTGTTATCGGCCTTAAAGCGCCGGGCATAGCATTGAATCATGAAGACGATTATATTCATCTGGAAAACGATGGAAATAATGTAAGGCTCATTCTCTCTTTATATTTAACGTAATCTAATTTCCGATATGAAAAAAAAAACTACTCGTCAGCCGGCTATTTGGGGACGTTTTTTAATGAAAAAACAATCCACTTTAATCGATTTAGCCACTATAAATCGAATAAAGTGGTTTAAATTTCATTGAATGTTACGCACCGTTTTAAATAACTTTTTTCTTCACAAGATGGAACGCTCTACTTGGGCAAATGGATGGAGAAAATTGCGAACATTGATGCCATTTTTGTGGCCAAAAAAAAGTGTTGCGCTACAATGCCGTGTTTTGTTTTGCATTGTTTTACTTATAGCGGGACGCTTTATAAATGTACTAGTGCCGGTTTATAATCAAAAGATAGGTAATGTTCACCTTTGATCTGCACATTCATTTCATAACATTGCAACTAATATATAATTTAATTGCAGTTGACAGTCTCGGAGAGAATGTATTCTGTTGGGATTGGATATTGATTTATGTTGGATTCAAATTTTTGCAAGGAGGTGGCACCGGATCGATGGGCCTATTAAATAATCTTCGATCATTTTTATGGATTCGAATCCAGCAGTTTACGACACGTGAAATTGAAGTTGAACTATTTTCGCATTTACATAATTTGTCGCTGAGATGGCATTTGGCACGGAAAACGGGAGAAGTTCTTCGCGTTATGGATAGAGGCACCGACTCAATTAATAATCTACTCAATTATATTCTGTTCTCGATTACTCCGACAATCGTCGATATTTTGATCGCTGTTGTTTTCTTCTCAGTCACATTCAATTGGTATTTCGGTCTAATCGTATTCATTACGATGGTTCTTTATATAGGTCAGTAGTGATTGTTTACAATTTGAATTGATAATGAATTAAGGTTTTGTGATTTATTTTTAGCGCTGACAATATTGGTGACTGAATGGCGAACAAAATTTCAGAGACGAATGAACTTAGCTGATAATGCACAGAAAGCACGTAGCGTTGATTCATTGTTGAACTTTGAAACGGTGAAATACTATGGAGCTGAAAAATATGAAGTTGAAGCATATCGTGATGCAATTTTAAACTATCAGAAAGAAGAATTCAGTTCAATTCTGACACTGAATATATTAAATACAGCGCAAAATATTGTAATATGTGGTGGTTTGCTAGCTGGATCAATTCTTTGTGCTTATTTAGTTGCGAATGAGGGAACGCTTACGCCCGGACAGTATGTGTTGTTCGCATCATACATTATTCAATTGTACGTGCCGCTCAATTGGTTCGGCACATTTTATCGGTAAGTTTAAATAATAGTTTTCTTAGTATGGGCTATTAGAGCAAAACTTCATTGAAAATTACAATTTGGCATTCTATATTTTCAGGCAAATTCAAAAGAATTTCGTCGACATGGAAAATATGTTTGATCTTATGAAAGAAGAGCAAGAAGTTGTTGATGCACCAAATGCACGTGATCTATCGCCGGTCCGAGGATCAATAGATTTTTCGAATGTTACATTCGGCTACACTCCAGATCGCACGATTTTGAAGAATGTCTCGTTTTCTGTTCCGCAAGGAAAAACTGTTGCTCTCGTTGGTCCATCCGGTTGGTTTAAATTATAATTTTTCTTAGTATGGATATTAGAGCAAATTTCATGAAAAATTCTACATTTTTTCAGGCTCTGGCAAAAGTACAATCATTCGTCTTTTGTTTAGATTCTATGACATTCACGGCGGAACAATATGTGTGGATGGTGAAAATATTAAAAACGTTCAACAAAGTTCATTGCGTCGAGCAATCGGAGTCGTCCCACAAGATACCGTTCTTTTCAACAATTCTATCAAATATAATATACAATATGGGCGACTGAGTGCATGCGATGCGGATGTAATTTCGGCTGCTCGTGCTGCTGATATTCATGATAAAATTGTGAATTTCCCAGAAAAATACGACACTCAAGTTGGCGAAAGAGGTTTACGCTTGAGTGGCGGTGAAAAACAAAGAGTTGCCATTGGTTTGTAATTGATTAGAATGACCAAAATATGTGTATTTACCTGACGTAACACATTGAACTATCTGAATTTAAATTGCAGCTCGAACCATTCTTAAGGCGCCCGCCATTGTATTATTAGACGAAGCGACAAGTGCACTGGACACACAGACTGAACGAAATATTCAATCCGCTTTGTCGAAGGTCTGTGCAAATCGAACAACGATCATAGTGGCACATCGACTATCAACAATTATACACGCCGATGAAATTTTGGTGCTGAAAGAAGGTGAAATCGTTGAACGAGGCCGACATGAGGCACTCTTGAATAGAAATGGTAAGAAGATTTCAATTATCCGCAACATTTATGGTTGTTTATATCATGTATCCTTTTATTAGGTATTTATGCTGATATGTGGAATCAACAGCTACGAAACGGTGATAATGAAGAAGTTAATAATTTACCAGCAATAGAAGATCAACAACAGAATGGGGAACCAAAAGCTGATTTTGAACAACGTCATCCTCAACACCATCATTAAATACTTTGATAGTTTTTGTGAGCAATGGACTATAGAAATTAAGAAAAATTGACAGTTTTGAAATATTCTATTTTTTTCTGTATCAAATAATATATTAAAATATAGAGAGAATATTCTACACACGAATAAAGTTCTTTATTATTACGAGAAAAAACTGTGTCATACACTTTGTGCACAGTGCAACGAAATAAAACTATATTTACTTTATCAACATTCAGTGCGTTAACATTCAATTAGAAAAAAAACTGTATGTTCCACAACAAAGTAGTTGGTTTATTTGCTTTCATTTTTTTTTTCAAAGAGATAAAAAGGGATAGCGCGAACGCTTTTCCCTGCTATCAAAAATAACGTGTACGAGTTAGATACTTGAGATCTAATCGCAAAGGTCAGCCACGTCGAAGTGCAATGACGCGGGAATCTTATTTTAATTTATTTATTACGAAAGAAAATATTACATGGCGAGCATCGTGTGGTCTTTGTTTGATAAATTTTGAATTTTCATCTAGATATTCTATGCTAATAGCCATGTTAGATAATAAATAGTCTATTATGTTCTGGCGGTCGTTTGGTCGGTGATTGTACTGCTTTAAACCATGGCTTATGCAAATGTCTTGAAACTTGTTTGAAGCTTCGATTGTAAGTCGGTTCTGTTTTCGAACAGCTTGTAATGGTTCACCATCGGCTCCAAATGGTTAGGTAAAATTAAAATCTCCTATCCACACATTGTGATTTGGTGATGTCGTCTCCTTCATTTTACTTTCGAAATGATTCATAAAAAGCATTTGCCAGGTTTGGCTTTTATATCATTGTAATTTATGTAAGATGCAATAAATTTCAATGGTTCATCATCCAAGAATTATTAAGATTTATTTGAATTTGCGTTGGTTTTTTGTGCATTTTTTTAACGATAGAAATTTTTACGATTGACTTGGGATTTTTTTGGAGACAAAAAATATTTTTGAGTCTTTAATTTTGTAAAAGAATTTTTTTTTGTACTATTCAAGTGTATCAAAAATATGTTTGTTTTACACATGGCGTGCACAGTATTGCCACCATAACAACAATCTGTATCAGATTTTTTTTTGTAAACGGTTTTTATTGCAATATCATCGATGCAAGTTCGATCATTTTTGGCATCGATACAGACGAATTTATTTTTTCTTTTTCGAATTTATTATTTTTTTGTCTTTTTTTGTCTTTTTTTGTCGTTTTTTGTCGTTTTTTGTGACATAAAGAAAAATATATAATCATTTATATCATTTGAAAAAGGAACAAAAAGGTTTGATTTAATTTTTGCCCAATTGTATTTCATTTTTTGACGCCATTTTTTGTTGTTGTGAGACGAGACGAGTCGATGAAAAAGAAAAATAATAAAAAGAAGATAATAGAAATTAATCAGTAATAAGATTTGTATTATTTTTTCAGGGCTAATTATGAGTGACAACAGAGAGATTGAGAAAAAAACGGGTGGTGATACGCATTATCATTTAGGTGCCAATTCACACATAACCATTCATCACCATCATTATTATGCTACACCAAAACGCTCACGAGAGGAAGATGAACAATCTGAATTACCAATTCCCCAGCGTCGTAATGTTAACGTTGCGTTTCCAACATCATTACCAGCACAAGTAATGCCGGAATTCCCATCACGTTTAATGCAAGTTGCTACACAAATCCCGATACTTTCAACTGGCCCGCCACCACCATTGAGACAAAATCGGTACCGACCTATCAGCTCTCAATCTTCACAAACCCCTTCACAAACCCCTTCACAAACCCCTTCACAATCTCTTCCACGAAATCCATTTGTGAACATATTCACACATCGCCGAACAGAAATTGAAACAATCGATTTTGAGAGTTCAACAGTGGAACAACGATCAGCACACGTGGCAGCAGCAGCTCAAGCATTTCATGATGCTCAGGTATGTGGTTAGAAAAATGTAGAAAAATGTATCAACATTTCATTTTTTAAAATAATTTTTCATTTATCAATAGGAACAGCATCATCAACAAGAACAATTACGACCATCAACAGAAGCTGTAGCAGCAGCAGCAGCAGCTCAGGTATGTGGTTAGAAATAATTATACGTAAATATTCTTCGACTCGTTTGATGGATACCAAATCCTCAACAAGTTGCCATATTAAATAACCGATCTCTCTCTCTCTCTCTCTCTCTCTCTCTCTCTCTCTCTCTCTCTCTCTCTCTCTCT